CCTCTTTCATCATATAAGCTGAGCACAACCGTTAATTCCCAGACTTCAGCGCCCCCGGCGTAGCTGACCTTCATTTGCTGTCCACTCTTCCGTTCCATTGATGAGTGTAGTCAATGTAGTCATGGAAATTTAAGCCTGATACAACCTGTCAAAAACCTTGGACGACCGAATTTCCATTCGAACCTTCAGTTTGGCACTTTTAATGGAACTGTTCGCAGCTGAAGCTAGTTCCGTCGGCACATAACATATATGCTGATTTACCTTTGGAGAATTCTCTTTACTGGAATCCGAATATTATGTTCTTTATATCGTTCATGAATCAAGTCGAGCTCAGTAGACACCTACCACAAGTGTGTTTGTTTAATTTTATTGTCATCGTGTATGTCCCACTAGTAGCATGCTATTATTGCATAAAATCTGTTTACTCTTGTGAGCTATCGAACAAATACTAAAATTTTCTAGAGCACACAGGGTAAACTGAATGGGTAAGTTTCGCATTTTGGCTAGGATTCTTCACAAATATAACGTCCAAGTAGTCGTTGAAGGGATTTGTTTCGGTTACATTTTCATTACATGAATCATCCTTCCTCCCCTTTTTCTCTTTATCTACTAAGAGCGTTTGACACCGCAATGCTTGGGTTTTGGGTTTGCATAAGACTAATTGTACAGTTTTGATTGCGTGAACACAAGCATTTTTGACCAATCATCGCAATTCCACGTTTGTCTTACTTAGAGTCCTGCAATCAGGGGACCTTCGGCAAAGACTGTGCCCTTCAATGTCATTGTCGAGACAATAGCTGCTTCAACGACGTGAAAAGCGAGGGTTGCCAGTCAGGCACTTGCAGTCCTGGCTATACCGGTTTTCCGGGCTGTCAAACAAGTACGTGTGAGCTTTTACTATCTTACCTTTGATTAGTCTGTCCCCAGGGTACTTTCGGCGTGGATTGTGAGGGCCGATGCCATTGTACTCCCGTTAATCGCTGTCTGCACACCAACGGCAATTGTGAACCCCCCTATCGATGCGTGCCTGAACGCACCGGTCCCAATTGTCAAATTGGTGAGTCTTCTGTTTGAATCCGACGTTAATCTCTAAACTCCCTTTTTAGTGCGTCCCAGACTTATCGATCCTCCTACCGTAAAAATAAATTGCACCAAATTCATTGTTTCGTGGCGTGGGTTAAAGGAAAAGGGAAATAGTGAAATGCCTGATATCCGTCAATATAGGTAGGAAATGAAGTATTTGAGTCAGTACCTATTCCCATCGTAGAATTGAAACTCGTGAGGCTCACTCGGATGCATTCATGGAGGCACGCACTGTCGATAGTCACACAAATGCTTCCGACTACAGTGAATCTTTTGATGACCGTCAACCGGACAGTATGATCACATTTCGCATTGTGCCGGTCTTCTTTGTGGACACAGGAAGTGGTGATGGTTACCTTGAAGATGGCATTCCCAGTCCGCCGTCTGAAGAAGTGGATATTTCTGCCGACGGTACGTACTTGGACGTTCTTTCGTACATTATCCAGACTTTTCGATTGTTTCTTCCTATTACGATAACTTTTTGTTGATTATGTTTGCGTACTTTGGGTACGGTGGAATTATGACTTAACGAAGACGAGATTTTCATACCGCCCCACTTTGGTCCCGTATATTTTGTTGTTAGCCTGTTTTGAGATTTTCTTGACACGTTAACGTAGCATTTTATGGACGCAGTCTCGGAGGAAAGTATCCTTTTTGTTTCTACAGAATGGCACAGTTAAATGTACGAATTTCGCGAGTAAATTAGCTATGGGCCGCTGATATTTCTTCCCAATTATTTTTGACTATTAAATTCATAATGCCAAGTTTCCAGTAAAATTAAGGTGGTAAAAGTCGTCTCAGCGTCTTAGGTCCTTAAATATATGGTCTGAGTCACAACTTTATTATGGCTTACTTCGTCCACCCTAACGTTATATATTTCTGTTAAAGATGTATCAGCTGCATCCGACAATTTAATCCAAATAATTACTGTGCTGGAAGTGATTTTACCTTTTGGACGGTAAAACCAATTGTAGAAATATTTAGCATATTTCGGCTGATCCAATTATGAAAAACCCAGCAGCTTTGATGCTGTTTGAATCCTCAACAGACTGGGCCAGAAGAAATACTGCACTGAAATAGCAAACTCCATGGAGCAGGCCTCGAACGTTGGTGATACTCGAAAACTGTACCAACTTATTGACCAGGCTAGTCGTAACCTATCTTCGCTGAGTGACCCAGTTCGTGATGCGAATGGCCGCATGATTGCTGAAAACGCGACCAAGGTCACTTTCTTCATTTTGGGGAATTTTAAGGTTTGTGAAATGTAAGTTTTAGTAATGTCATCGCAAGAGAAAAACATCTGTGGAATACGCACATCAGTCACCTTCACTATTAGATCTACTTCACCATAGCACAAATAAGGCAACCTCAGGACCTGCCGCCGAGTTCCCCTGTATGCTAGCGGTAAAACTGCCTAGACTGTCTATGGGATTGCCTGTCACCCTTTCCACCAGTTTGGGGCTGGAACGCGGGCAACTATGGAAGTACCTACAAACGCACGCTTGATCCATATGGTGCTGACTGAGTCCAACTTCATACATATAGGTTCACCGTATCGATAAAATTATTCTATCGGTTAGCACCGTCTTGTGAAGCCCGCTGGTCAGAGCGGTTGCCGGGCTCTGTCAGT